GGGGATTTCGGATTTTTTTCGAATTTTTCCGCTATAATATTGGGAAAATAGACAACTTTTTGAACATTTTAATGCAATAAAAATTTTTGGTCGGAGTCCCCCTTTAATAATTGAGCAATTACTTTGTAAATTCCACTTTCTTTTGTATAATTTTCATATTTAATAAAGTGTTTATTATAAATTTCCACAAACAAAAAAGTTCCAGAAAACTATTGATTTTCGGATCACTCGAGCTGATAGAGCAACAGACTCAATGTAAAAATTCTTGTGTTGAATTTCTAATTTTATCATTTGGGAATCTAGATTTTTTGAATCGCCGCACTCCTTTGATACTTTCAGATCAGTAGTGAAGTCCAATGGAATTCGAAAGTATCTGGAAAAAATATTTGTTTCGAAACAGCAATTTTTTCCTTTCCTGGAACTTTTTTTAAAACAAAGAAAAAGGAAGATGTTATTTGTAAACTGAAACTAGGAATGATCATGATTTATTAAACTTCTTAAAATTAATAAAAACTTTTTCAACATTTTGAAACAGAAAAATTTTTGAATTTGGATACTTGATTGGTTTCAAGCTGTTTATTTGGTTTGGATGAATTTGTACAAAAAAGTTGTCAACTACAGAATTGAAGCTCTTTCTTTGTTTAGTATAGTCTGAAATTTTCAGACAAGTTGAAAAATGGTGAACTAGTTTTTTAGGACCTCAAAGTTGAATTAATTTTCAGCCTCATCCAACAAAAATTGTTTTTCTAATTTTTACTGTTTCACTGATCAACAAATAGTTGTGAAGGTACTTTTGTAATAATTCATAATTAGTTAGATCTTTATGGGGTTATGCACGTAATAAATTTGCAATAAAAATGGCAAATAAATACACAAAAATACTATGCAGATACGCAAATAAATTTATTTATTTGCATTCAAAACCCGAATTAAATTGCATTATCAGCCATGAAAAAATTTTCTCTCGAGAAAAAAATTTTGAGAGGAAATTTCCACGGCTGATAATGCAATTACCGTAAAACCTCTAATAGAACGACACCCGGATCGTCCACTTTGAGCCCATATATCTCATTTTCTGTGAAAGATATCAAAAAGTGGGTAACTAGTAAAATGTTGCTGA